CAAATATTTGCTGAACATTGTGTTTTAGGTGCTGTTCTACGTGCCAAGGATATAGTGAAGAACATTAGATAAGCTTCCTACCCTCAAGAAGATTACTTTAGAATGGGGAGGGGGGCAGACATTTAGAGGAATTTGCCCACAACAAAAAAGTTTTACAAAGATGTTCACAATGAGAATTTTATACTGGTAAAATATTGAAGACAACCCAACAATACAATGAATATGTAAGCAGAAAATGATTTAGAAATATATGGAATATTATGTAGCTATTGAAAATTATAAGTTTTAGTTTAAAACACAATGAAATAGTCATAAGAAATGAATCAAGCCAAAAAAGTTTCTTAACTGAAAACTAAATCTATGATGTAAAAAAATATCTTTAATATATTTCCACAGTTGGAAAATGTATTTACTCTGTCCCTATGATGCTCCATTAATGGTATATAACATACGTTTTCAATTTAAACAAGGAATCCAAACAGCCATCAAAATTAAGTATGTATATTTACAAAGGTTAGGAAAATAAGCCATGTTCGGGGGCTTATTATTTATTGGAAACTTTGCCTTCTGTAAAGTTGCTTAAATCATTCCCCCCAAAAACCAGGTACTATTTTTTTAACGATAAGAAATATTTTGAGGCACCTGGGTGGCTCAGTAGGTTGAGCATCTGCCTTTGACGCGGGTCATGATCCTGGGGTCCTGGGATGGAGCCCCACATCAGGCTCACTGCTCAGCGGGCAGCCTGCTTCTCCCTCTGCCTGCCATTCCCTTTGCTTGTGCTCTCTCGCTCTCTCTTTCTCTCTCTGTCAAATAAATAAACTCTTTAAAATAAAAAAAAAGAAATATTTTAGTGAGACCCATTCTTTCTAGTTGTTCTTGATTTGGCCTGAATACACTGAGAAAACTAAACACTGCTCATAGTTTTTTTAAAATATGTAATGAGGACGTGTAGCATATTATTAGTCATTTTGGTTTATATCACCAATGCTCTGTGATATATGAGTTTATTAAGCTCCGGAATTAACAACAACTACTGTAAGGATATATAAATGACTTTGGGGGGGGGGCAGGGAGGAGCAGAGGGAGAGAGAGGAAGAGAATCTTAAGCAGGCTCCACATCCAGCACAGAGCCCGACAGGGGGTTGGATCTCAGACCCTGAGATGATGACCGGAGCCAAAATCAAGAGCTGGCCACTTACCCAGCTGAGCCACCCAGGGGCCCCAGGATATATAAATGATTTTTAAATTTGGATATATTACTGCAAATGGTGAAAAGACCACTTCCTGTTATTTCTGAATTCATGCTCATCAAATTACTGAAAATTTGGCATAAGGGGAAACACTAATACTTCCTATGTTTGAGAGGGATTAGTCATGTAAATGGAAATTAAAGCAAACATTACAATAATAAGTATAAATATTAGGAATGTCTCAATGTAGACAATAATTGAATGTGATAGCATATGATTTGATATTTCTATATAGATCTAAGTCCGATATAGACCTTAAAAGCTTTTGTACATTAGGTTTCTACCAACAGCTTACCATTAATCCATTTTTTTTTCCAAAGATTTTATTTATTTATTTGATAGGACACAGCGACAGAGGGAACACAAGCAGGGGGAATGGAAGAGGGAGAAGCAGGCTTCCCGCCAAGCAAGGAGCCCAATGCGGGGCTTGATCCCAGGACCCTGGGATCATGACCTGAGCCGAAGGCAGATGCCCAACGACTGAGCCACCCAGGCACCCCACCATTAATCCATTTCTTTTTTTTTTTAATGAACATATTTTTTTTTCAAAGATTTCACCTATTCATTTGAGAGAGAGAATGAGATAGCATGAGAGGGGGGCAGGTCAGAGGGAGAAGCAGACCCCCCGCCGAGCAGGGAGCCCAATGCGGGACTTGATCCCAGGGACTCCAGGACCACGACCCGAGCCGAAGGCAGTCGCTCAACCGACTGAGCCACCCAGGCGCCCTAATCCATTTCAATATAGTATCAGAAAGTATAAGTGAAAGAATTATAATGAAGAAGGTGGACTAGGAAAATAAAGTCTATTTAGTACAGAGTCTCTAAGTGGCCAATGTACAGAAATACTGAATTATGGGAATTTAGGGATAATCAATAGATCTCAACCAGTTTTACATACAGATTTAAATCAGTTGTACTTACACCTCAGAATCTCCTGGTGAATTCATAAAAAGTGGGCCACATTAAGTGCCCCCCCCCAAAGATTTTAAACCATTAGGCCCTGGAATAGAGTTTGTGCTTCTGTGTTTGTTCAAAATCTTTCTTAGGTCCTTCTGATGATCATGATTGGGGGAGAATCACCCACATAGGACAGTCATTATAGATTAAATTGAGAGGAGAAACCTCCATAAAGAAGGGAGACTTCCAGTGCACCATGCCACATGGAAAGGCTTTAAGTGGAGACGAAAAGGCAAGGGCGAGTCATTTACTAGATAAGCAGAAACTGAGGCCGGAATGGGCAAGGTGTGGTAGGGAAGAAAGTAGGTAAACCATCTTTTCAGAGTTTAAGGCAAATAAAGATGGTAATGTCCACTGAATGAGGTCATTGGAAGGTAGCTGTCCACTTAAAAAAAATACAATTCAGTAGAGGAATGAATCCAGATTTAGGGCTTAGGAAATGAATGAGTGATGGGTAATGAAGGCAGTGAGTATTTAGAGCACTCATTTGAAAATGTGGCAGGGGAGGGAGAGTGAAAAATAGAACGGAATTTGAATGGGAAGTGTGGGATCAAGATGGCATTTTTTTGTCTCCTCAAGAGGAAGACTGCCTGGACATGTTTGCAGGCAACGGAAAGACATCCAGAGGAGAAGAAAAGAGTAGGCATTTTAGAGCAGGTAAAATGGGGATTGGTATCTCCAGGCGTTTGTAATATATTTGTGTAAGGACTAAAATTAATTACAGTGAAGTTACACCAGTTTAATTAGAATTTAAATTGGAGTAAATTAAGGGGAAAGGGGAATCACCACCAAAAGGTCTTAAAAAAAAAAGTCTGCAAGAAAGTTCTGGGCAAAAGTGTACAATACTAAAACTAAAGGCAGTCTCTGCTAACCCTACCTACTTTCTCCATTTGATCCTAGATCCACAAACTGTGGGAGTAATTGAGAATAGATGCAAATACTAAATGGAAAAGTTCAAACTAGAAGATGTAGACAGGTACAGATAATCTGAGCTAAACTGGAGCCAAGTTGTACCTCTACTCTCCACTAGAGGAGCAGATGACTGCTTAAGGGGAGTGCAGGCTGCTGCCTCAAAACTCACTAGTTTAACAGCCTCTTCCTTGGAATAATCTCTTAAGGTTTGTGTACTAAAGACTCCAAAGCACAGAAATTTTTAAAAAGAATTCCAGGCATAAAAAGGAGACTGGCTTGGTTGGATGAAAATAACAGTGATTTTTTAAAAACAGTTTATCAACTCAGGATAGAATAGGTCAACAGCAATCACTCTTACTAGGTTATGACTTGACAGAAATGATCACTGGGCAAGATTATTCTGCCAGAATGGCCCGGAGTGGGTAAAAGAATACAGACAGATGTGTAAAGCTCTTGCTCTCCCGCCAAATGTGAGGTGATGAGGGTCAGAGCCGATGCCAACTGTGTTTCATTTTATGTCACTGGACATAAAATTCTAATTAATGATTTGAAGATTATAGTAGAGTACTGGCTTATTTTTTATAGGATGGTTTTACTTTGTTTTTAAACTTGTATTATACTTTGTAAGTATCAAAGCACTGCAGTGTTTTATTTCATTTGACACTCACAAAAACTTTCTGCAGTTGAGAGAACAGAGTTACTTTTCCAGCCTATTCTAAGAGGTAACAGAGATTCAGAGCAGTTTAACAAGTTACCTCATTGGACAAATATCAGTGTCTAGTGTGTGCCAGTCACTCTTATAGTTAGGGTTATATATTTTGCTAATGCCTGAGCCACAGTCAGAATTCTTGATCTTCGTTGTTGATGGAAACATAGCCTCATTGCATTTATTCATGACTGTTCTTTAGGAGGCTACTTGCACACAAAGCCCAAGGTGCAAGTCTTGGTAAATTTATATGTTGAGATGTACCAAAAAACATAAGCCTTTTGGGTATGACCTGCAAAAAAAAGGTTTTTATATTTGACATGTGGTATGTCTCATACATTTTTTTAATGGAGCAGGATCATATACATCTTTTTAAAATACCTTTGTATACGGATTAAAGGTTTAGCCTCCTTAATTACATAACCCACAGGGTACAAGGTATGTGTCAGCAACCATGATAAAACATACTTTACGAAGCAATTTTAAATTTAAAAGCTGTACAGCTTGATGTCCTTGCATTCTATAAAGCATTTTCAAGCAAATAAATAGATGCTTTACACCTCAGTCATAGAGACATCAGAGAATGAGTTCTAGTAGGCAGAACCCGAAGAGTTCAGATAAAACTCTTAAGATTATTTAAAACAAAAAACAACCAAATCTTGATTTGGTCAAATCTTATTTTGAAACAGAGGTCCTTAAGTGAAATTTACAGTAATGTCATTTCTGGAATAGAAAAACAGACAGTATGGGGCACCTGGGTCACTCAGTCAGTTGAGCACCTGACTCTTCATTTCAGCTCAGGTCAGGATCCTGGGGTTGTGAGATGGAGACCCAGATGGGGCTCCACGCTGGCCATCAAGCCTGCTTAAGATTCTCTGTCTCCCTAAGTCCCCCACACTTTCCCTCTCTTAAAAAAAAAAAAAAAAAAAAAAAAGACGTTATTTTCTAGGTTGTCTACCCAGCGTTTTTTTTCTCCTGTATAAATTATTCTTACTTTTGAATGGATTTAAGAAACTTCATTCTTTTGACAAGTATGCCTTCAATATGTTCAAGTTACAGATGGAGTCTGAGTCTTTTAACATTTTTTAGGGTCTACTTGTCTTGATTATTGGGGTGAAAATTCTAGGCGTGTGCATATATGCACATATGTACTTAACACACACGTGTCTAGCTTCCAATTTTTAAATTTTGGTTATTATTACAGAGAGATTAACAATGACTACAGAAAATAAGGCACGAAAAGTGTTTCCTCCATAACACGTCTGAACGCTAGAAGCGAAAGTCACTTTTGTTGGTTTCTACATGGTGCTGTAAACGGTTTCCATGTTCCTTGTCCACATGGTCCTCCTGCTCTCCCAGGGTGGAGAGTCTTTCTCTTCACGTTGATGTGGTCAGACTAGTCAAGTGACTCTGCAGAAAAGGCACATTCCTTAGTCAACCTTATGTTGTCTGCCCTCTGTCCCTGAATCATAGTTATTGGCTTTATGGGCCAGAGCAAATAAAAGTCTTGAACCCTACCTACAGCAGAGACAATACACCAGCTTCGGATGCACCATAAACGGAAGAGTCAAGGCGGCTCCAGCACACGGTTTATGTTTGCGTCGCGACGAGCTAGCTATCAGGCAAGGCCATGAAGAAGAGGATCTTCATTCGGATTTAAGGGTGGGTGACACCGCAAAGGTTTTTCTTCCCCTTTTCCATAACTGGATGGGAAACCTTACTTGGGCCGGCCACCTCTAAGTGGCAATACAGCTGACACTCTAAGATGAAACACTATGCCCGTTCTGTCAATGGCCCGTCCCTAAATTCACGTCGCTCAGCCCCACATTCCCACTCGGAAAGCCCACAACCAATAGGGCCCTTAATCCATTCCGGCCACAGGGACAAATCATGGAAGCCAGAGAGACAGGAAGGCACCAGCACGCGGGTTCCCGCCTCTTCTAGGCCGCGCGCCGAAATCAAACCCGACCCTGGATCTTTCGGGGCGGTGCCACGCGCGCTCCGCTCCCTCCGCCGGCCAAGCCACGGCCGACGCCCGCTCGCCCCGCCGCGGAGCTGCGCGGGGGTACGCCTCAAGGCAGCGGGGAAAAGGCTGGCCAAGAAGGAAGAGACGCGCGAGGTGCGCTCTGCGCACGCGCGCGGCGCCCCGCCTCCCTAGCGTCGGCTCCTGGGCGGGCAGCGCGGGCCCTCCCACTCTCCCCCGCGCCGCCTGACGGCCCCGGCCCTCGCTTCACCCCGACGCCCCGGCGTGCGCGTTCTCCTGCCGGCCTTCAGGCCCGGGGCCTCCGCCTGCTTCCCCGCCGCTGCTCCTCGCGGCCCCGGCTCGCGTTCACGCTGTCGCCCGGGCCGGCGCGGCCGCGGGCAACCGCTCCCCCTCCCACACCTACCCCGCCCCCTCCCCGCCTTTTCCGCCCTCCCGTCCCCCTCCCTCGGCCCGCCGCCGCTGCTCCAGATGAGGTGATGGCAACGGCCAACTTCGGCAAGATCCAGATCGGGATTTACGTGGAGATCAAGCGGAGCGATGGTGAGCCGCGCCGCCGCCCCTACTGGCCGGGCCCCGCATTCGGGTGTTCATGGAGGGGACGCGGGGCCGGCCGCCTCATTGATTGCTCCGCCGGGCTGTGGGGGCGGGAAGGCGGCGGCCGCGGCGCTTTTGTGTGTGGCGTGTGTGCGAGTGAGGCCGGCGTGGGGTCCGCCCCGGGTGCCGCTGCAGTGCGGGGGGCGGGGAGGGGCCGCTGGCGATGGCCTGGGTGTCGCGGCCGCATCTCTGGGGGTTCGGGCGGGTGAGGCGGACGGTCCCGGGACAGGGGTCCCCGCTCTTCCCGCGATCTCCATCCTACCCGGGGACTCCAGCCCGCGGGGCCGGGGGCAGAGGGCTTCTTTAGGGAGGACCCAGCCTCGCGTTTCACCCGGCCTTTTCATTTTCCGGCAGTATCTCTTGGGGGGGGGGGGGGGGGGGGAGAGCGTGGAGACCAGTGGTTTCAGTGTTTAGAGAACCGACTCCCGGCCCGAGGCAGGGGGAAAAAGGCCAACCCTGAAGCTGGTCAGGCTTCTTCGCCTGTCGCTTCTCGGGCATGCTTTTCTTTTTCTTTCTTTCTTTTTTTTTTTTGCTAGTCCCTTCCTTGGAAGAAGGATGCGGAGAACGTCGTGCTCGGCCATGAATATGGGGGGGTGGGGGGAGCAGTGGGAAGAAGTGTTCGATAAGCTTCTCAGAGGTGATGAGACTGAAAGGGAAGGAGAGGGCTGAGCCTAGTCAACGCGATGCATTACCGAGAGGGTGGGGTGGGCGACCGGATGTTGATATTTTTCACACCCTCTGGAGAGGTAACTGAGAGAGAAGTGTAAGATGAGGCGAATATACATGCTTAATTCAAAAGAAAAGAAAAGGCTTACGTATCTTTTATAGGCTCCTCTTGGGGAAAATGTTTTATGTCACTAGCTTGGGGTGTGGAGTGAGATGCCAGCCAGGCTTGGAAATAATTTATATTGTAAAGGAGAAAACGCATGGAGAGAGAGAAGTACAATTTTCTTTCAATTCGAATATTGGAAGAACTAGAGATATGTAATAGGTGTGTGCAGTGTTCATGACTCCATCTCCCTGACACTCACCTTTATTTATGGCTTTTTATCTTCTTGCCTAGTCAGTAGTAACGTTGCTATCACATCCACACCCTCCTGCTTTCTGAGCAAGTTTGACTAAGTTATGTGAAGCTAGATTGACTTCCCTGTTACCTGTGTGATATATTGTCAGACCTCATATAGCTAATGATTTTTTCCCATTATATTTGAGATAATTTGCATTAACAGCCGGAAACATCATTACCCTGAATGTGAAAAGATCACGTATACCGCTTAGAGCTTTAGTAGTTACTAGTAACACCACCGGGAAAGCGATGTCTCCTTTTCTTGGGTTGGGGTTTCTTTTTATTTTCTCTTCGAATTACTGTCCTTAAACAGTACTGTTTTACTGTCATTTCTTTTTTAGGTGAACAAGGGTTCACTGCATTCCAATGAAAGTAGGATTTGCATATTATTTAAAATTTGGGGGTGCAATAAAATGTGTTAAGTTCTTTACATTCTAAGCCTTTATGATTGTAGGTGTTACTACAAAACATTTTTAAAAACCAGTATCATATGGCCTTTGAAAGCTTTGTATTTTTTTATTTTTTCTAAACACTTTTTTTGTTTAAACGCATGATGTGAAATAATTTTGGTTCATTTTAGGGTTCTAGGACAGAGACTTTTTAATAGTCTTTCAGCCTTTGCCTTTACCAGAAATCCAAACATATATATCAGAGCTTTGTGTTCTTCTATAGGTGCTAATAACCTAAAGTCACATTTCAAAGCAGTTTGCCCATTAGGTCATAATGGAAATTGTTACAATGTGTATTATCCCAACCTTTAGTCATATACATATTTATGCCCTTCAGATGCATGATGGAATTGGTGGAAGGTAAAAGTAGACAACTTGAAGGGAATGGTCATTTGCATTGGATAGTGGTGTGTCACAGTAGAAAAAAAGATGCCTGGGAAACTCCCCACAAGCTTTCTTTTTTCACATTAAAGAAGCTGTTTTGTTTCCTCCTACTTCTATAGCACATCTGTATTGGATAAAACACTAGTGGTTATTGTAACAAAAATAAACTTTGTAGTTGGATGAGCACTAATGTAATGCCTGAGACAATGGAAATCACATGAGTGAAGAAGGGCTGCTGTAGACTGCTATTAACTGGTGACTTGATGTTCTGCATGCTTCCTAATGGTGATACTTGTCCTTGTTTCAGAGCATGCTTCTCCAATCTGATGCTCATATAGAAATAAAACATATTCTGAGGGCCAACGGGTAAACTAAAATGAATTTATTCTTATCTTTAAAGGCCCTGCTCAAAACTAATCCCAGTAAGTCTTCACTAATTACTAAAACCAGATGGATAGCCAGCCTCTGAATTCCTAAGTCATTCTGTATCATTCATGAGGCAGCATATTTCCGGAAGTACTAATATATTTGGGTGTATTTCTTTTAATATTATATTTTCAAACTGCACTGGAGATGAGGTGGTGTAGAATCCAACTGAGGGATGGCAGGCTACCCACATCCACTTCAACCACAGTTAGGGTGTTATGGGATTAAAATACTTATTATAGCCTCTTCAGTTTCCTGAATTCATCTGTGTATCTCCTCCATGTGCCTAGCAGAGGTTCTCCCCTATAGTTTTTGAGTGAATCATTCATTATTGGGTCTTTGGTTTTCAAACATTTAAGTTTACCATTCTGATGACATCTTACCTGGAAGTGAAACCCTTCTATCTAGGCTACCACCTCCTTATTCTTTTTTTTTTTTTTAAGATTTTTTGTTTATTTATTCATGAGAGACAGAGAGAGAGCGAGGCAGAGGGAGAAGCAGGCTCCCCACCGAGCAGGGAGCCTGATGCGGGACTCCATCCCAGGACTCTGGGATCATGACCCGAGCCGAAGGCAGACGCTCAACCATCTGAGCCACCCAGGCGCCCACCACCTCCTTATTCTGCTCTGCTCCCCTCTACCCCACTCCATTCAGGCCTCTTAGTACAACATCCCCAGAGTTGACTGGAATTGAGTGATCTGCTAAAGCTAATCTCACATTTCTGGTATTCTGAAGTTAAGAATGACAGAGATCAGATGTACTGAGATTGTTCCCCACCACAGGCAGTAACCTGTTATGAAATTAGACTAGTTTCTGGAAATGGATAGTCATGTATAATTTATTTTTTTGCATGTGGTTTCCTGTTACCCTTTTGATTCAACTCATTTTTGGAATCCAGTGACTCTAAAACCTGCACTCTTACTGTTATGTAGCTAGATAGTTGTTTTTTTTTTTTTTTGAGATTTTATGTATTTCACAGCGTGCACAAATGGGGAGTGGCAGGCAGAGGGAGAGGGAGAAGCAGGCTCCCCACTGAGCAGGGAGGCTGACATGAGGCTCCATCCCAGGATTCTGGGATCATGACCTGACGTGAAGGCAGAGGCTTCACCAACTGAGCCACCCAGTCACCATAGCTAGGTAGTCTTTATTGGGAATTCTGAAAAGCACTGTTAAAACATCTCTTACCTGTTTGACAGTGTCTGTAATTATCCTTTAGAGATTGGGGGAGGGATGAGAAATGTTTTGAATATTTGGAAGCTGCAACTCTGATGGGATTGTTTTCTGGGGTCTCTTAGTCACAGCATTGATATATGTGATCTGAAGAGAAAGATCGACCAGAAAGATCCTTGAAGTTAATCTAGTTCTCATTTTTATAAATATGGAAACAGAGCCCCAAGTCACCTTAAGGGACTTGTCTGGATTCTTACAGCTTGTAGTGGTAGCCAGGAACCTGTCTTGCATAGCACAGAAACCAGACTATCAAGAACTGTGGCAGTAAAGGGAGAATTCTGTTATTTAGGAACCATACACAGCTTTCTACAGCCCAATAAGGATGTGTAGGAAATTGCTTCTTGGTCATAGGAAGGGCGCTAGGGAGCAGTGTTATAGAGCCCAGTTGGAATGATCTGGTAAAAAGTGGTAATGGTATAGTAACTAGAAGATCACAGTGTTGGTGAAAAGAATGCTTTAATTAAGCATCTGAAATCATGAAGGTAAAGATTTCAAAGGATTTATCGGGAATCTTGGAGTTTAGAGCAGGCAATCTTTAGGAAAGATTTTAAATGGCCTAATTCTCCTACCTGTTTTGCCATATTTATTCTTTTGCTAGTTCATCTTTACATGTCATATGTAGACTTTGGAGAATGGACTGTGTGAATGTAGGTAATAAAAATGAACAACGTAGCAATATAGTTGTTTAGGTAAGATTGTGTGGCTCTGTGGAGTGGGTGGAATGGGGAAATTTGTGGATTAATAATTTCCTTTTACATGGTAAGTAACAAGATAATGGTTCCATATATGTATAGTTAGGCCTTCATACTTTTCTTTTCTTTAAAATCAATTAATTAACATATAGTGTATTATTAGCTTCAGAGCTAGAGTTTAGTGGTTCATCAGTTGCTTATAGCACCCAGTGCTCATTATATCATGTACCCTCCTTAATGTCCATCACCCAGTTACCCCATGCCCCCACCTCCCTCTGCCCAGCAGCTCGCAGTTTGTTTCCTTTGATCAAGAGTTTCTTATGATTTGCCTCCCGCTGATTTCATCTTATTTTATTTAATTAATTAATTTATTTTTTTAAAGATTTTATTTATTTATTTGACAGAGAGAGACACAGCAAGAGAGGGAACACAAGCAGGGGGAGTGGGAGAGGGACAAGCAGGCTTCCTGCGGAGCAGGGAGCCCGATGCGGGGCTTGATCCCAGAGCCCCAGGGATCATGACCTGAGCCGAAGGCAGACGCTTAACGACTGAGCCACACAGGCGCCCCTCATCTTATTTTATTTTTCCCTCCCTTCCCCCATGTTTACCTGTTCTCTTTCTTGAATTCCATGTATGAATGACATCATATGATAATTGTCTTTCACTGGTTGACTTATTTTGCTTAGCATAATACCCTCT